GGGGGGGGGGGGGGGGGGGGGGGGGGGGGGGGGGGGGGGGGGGGGGGCAGGATGATAGGCAGCGGGGATGGTGGTAGGCGAGGGTGATGTAAACATTGCGAGGAGGAGCGTGAGAGGGGTGAGACAATTAGAAGCCCTCCAGAGGGGAATCAAAACGCGATTCACCGTGTCATTCGAAGCGACCGTTCGGAGAAGACCATCCCCCCACCGGCGGATCCATCGACAACAAAAACAAAGGAGGCGGCAAGCAAACGCCCAACGCCTCCTCAAGGCCATCGACAAGACAGGTCGGGTTTGACCCCGATACGCTCACCAATACACGTCCCCCGAGGAACACCGCTGTTCCTGGGTTGAAGGACATGTACATACCTGACCGAGATAGTGATCGCGTCTGCCTCTGCCTCCAGCGCCGGGATCACGCCCTCCTTGTCCGGATCAAACCAAGGCCTCGCCACGAGAGTGAGGAGAGAGAGACGAGTTGTATTTCGCCGCTTCCCCTCGTTGAAGCACCTGGGTTGTTCCACGGGAGAGCGCAGGGGTGTGGGCGGTACACGCGTCGTCAAAGCAGAAGAATCCGTGGCGCGGAGCGCACGAAAAGGCGGGGTTGTGCGTCACGAGGCTGTTATTGCACCGCTTCATTACTTTCGCGGGAGAAGAGCAAAAAGTGGAACACCTTACCGTGTGAGCAGTCAAAGCAGGAGAAGCAATCAGGCATCGCCGTGCAACGTTTGTGGTCGAATTGTGATAAGTCAATCCGACTGATGTCCGGACGTCCTGGTCGGCGATTCCACGTGCCGACTGCGGAATTTCTGCATGACAAGCGGTCCATGTGTACAATCCATGCAAAATGCAATCGAACACGGGCCGCTCTTGAACACACCCGAGGAGGGGAGAAGTTCTGAAAAAACAACAGTTCCGGGAACCTCTCGCCAGCCGCGAAGAGGTCCCACGTACCACAGAAGGTAGCGGTCATACAACCTGGACCACTTTCCGTACCAACAAAACTCTCTGGCAGATCTGTTCCGTGGGTTGGGTGTTTCCGCGACAACCCACGCACGTCCAGCACGGTCTATATCCCGACTCGCCACCTGATAAATACGGCACGCGGTGGTAACCTGAAAGATTATCGCGAAAAGCGGCCCTCACCCGAGTCCCCTGCCCCCAACCTTGGTTGACGTCTGCTGCGCGACCCCCACTTTCCAGTCCGGCCACTTCCTAGACCTAAGGAAGAACGCCTGCCCGTGGGCAAGGGGACGGCCCGGCTCTATCCCGCTCACGACGAAGTGAATCTTCGATGCTGACGCCTGAAAAAATGGTTTCATACAAGACGAAAAAACGTTATAAAGTTGTTGCACAAGACGCGCGCTTACACACGCCGCAAAAAACACTACCGAGAACAAAAGAAAAATCACACCCCAGTATGACAGCAAAAAAACAAGCGTTTCTTGCAAACAGTGACGAAAGAGAACACCGTTTGCACGTACTTTGGAAGACCATCCGAGCGCCCACCCTCTGCCGATTCTCACGAACTTCCGACTCTCCTGAAAGCACCCAGGCAGCCAAGGGGAACGTGGGTGCAAACCACGGGATCAATAGAAGGGTCGACAGAGGTGGGTGTCGAGTAGGAGCACACGCCGCGGCAATTGTTCCAAAGGCACTGGAAGTCACAGCAAGGTTCCAGCCGTCCAACGTCCGGTAGTGTCGGCATAGCCAAACACGTAAAGCATGCGTAAAAAATACTACAGAGTGCTTCCTGAATACCACAGGACAGTAGTGCGGCTGCTCGATTCCCTCGTCTGGAAGCGTGTAATGTTGAATACCCGAGACTTTCCCCGAAAGTTTTTCCAGAGTATTGCTCATGATTGTAGACTTGAACCGGTCGAGCGAGAGAGAGACAGAGACAGACTTCAAGGTGGCGCAAGACAATCGTTCAGGCTCCGCCACCGAATCGATGACGTCCCGTCCGTACGGAGATTTTCAACCAAAAGTATCCACAATAGACAAAGAGCTACTCAGCATTGAAAGGCTGTCCAGTTCGTAGAGAATGTGCTAGCCCCACCCGTTAGCCCCTAGCACCCTTACCGGGTGATCCAGAACAATGACGTCACCAGAATGTGCAAGCCCCCCTGGTACACTTACCGGGTGATGGAGAACGATGACATCGCCGTCGTAAAGGTAGTCCGATCGGAAAGTTCCTTCGCCTCCGCCCACCTTCACTACCTGCGGGACAATATTGTCGCCATGTCCGACACAAAAAAAACACCATCATGGTCAAAAACCCGTACAGCAGTAAAGGCTACCATCGAAGAGAGGTTGTTGACAAGACAGTTCGGGTTTCAAGTCGGAAAACAAGGGGTGTCACGGCCGTTAGAAATAGAAATGTGTCGGAGTAATACGTACAGTTTAAGTGGAAAGCGGATTAGTCGATTCTGCTTGCGAAGACCCTCTCAAAACTCTTAAAACCGCAGCCGCCAGAGCACCCATAGTCTGTTGCTCGAGTGAAAAAGTCTTTCTACGACAAGTGCATTGACAGCAGTCACAGCGCTGTTGTTGCTCACAACTTTTTTCTCGCCGTTCACCCTCTCTAGGGTTCACCGTGAGGCCGGTACCAGGACTTGCCTCCATTTTTCGCGTTCAACTTCTCGTTTGCCACTCCAACCAAAATGGTGGCTTCTGGCTGCCTGCTAGCTTGCTTCTGACTAGAACTCGTCAAAACGTATGCGTTGCGCTGTCGAATCGTTTTTCTCCTCTTTCAATCAATCGAATGGCCGGTCGAGGTAAAACCAAGTACTGCTGTAGCGGTAGCAAGCCGAACGAATGCATGGCCCAAAAAATTCTCATCGATGTTCCATACGTGCTCCATTTGTTGGTTTGTTAGAGAACGTCAGCGTCAGCTAAGACAACACGAACATTGGAAGGCGCCGAGCGAAGATCGGGACCCTTTCCAATGTGGAGACAACTGCTGGGGAGACCACGTATCAAACAATAGCTGTGGACCCTCCCTGCTGCTCTTCACCTGGAGTCCGGCAGGCATGGCAGTACCCCTCCTCATAGCGACGCGCCCCCCGTTACCCTCGCCGAGGAAGTCGTGGTAGGACGTAGAGGTGCTCTGGCGAGTTGGCGACTGCTGCAATCGGTTCTCGCCGACTCCGCCCATGAGGAGCGGGAGGACAACTCCACTCTTGACCAGGCCCTTCCCGCTGACCTCCTGGTCGTCAAGAAACATCGGATTGACTGGTTGATATCGTACTTTCTCGAAAGAATGGCTGTTCCATCAACAAGTGTATACCGAATGATCAACACATAAAGAACCAATTGGTTGTTCGTGTACTTCATGTATGGACCGCAACTCTTCACCAGGCCCTTCCCGCAGACCTCCTGGTCGTAAAGAAACACCGTTTAGATTTGATTGGTATTGCACTCCTTCCAGAGCACGGCTGTTTTCTGAACATATATACCAAAATGGGAGCTTGTTTGCATTTATGTATGAACCACACCGCGTTTCACCAGTCCCTTGCCGCTGACCTGCTGGTGGTGATTTTGATTTGTACTTTCGAGAGCATGGCTGTTTCCGCAACATGTATACTAAACGGGGGTGTTTATCTTGTGTCTATTTTTTGTTTTGGTTTGAGGAGGGCATATGGAGGAGTCTTGTGCTGAATATGGTTTGTCTTCGGCTTTGGGGAAGATCAACAAGAAACAGAGGCGGTCTACGCTATCTCCGGGGTCAGACTGGAATTATTGTGAAGACTACAGCGAAAAAAACAACAGTGACAACCAACTGGTAGCCGAGAAATCGTCATTGACCCGAAGAGGCGAAAACAACCTCTGTTTCTTGCTGGTCCCCTTGCTCATCGGAAGAACACCCCCAAATGCCCTCTCGGGATATGGGGGGAGGGGTACTACTCCATCTACGGCGATTTATGCCGCGGTGCCCCGGCTCCCGTTCTCGCTGTCTATCAGCTTCTGTCTCTCTGTCTCCCTCTCTCCCTTTCTCTCTCCGTTTTGATCTTTTCGTTCGGGCGGGTCCTATGTCCCTCTCTCTGCCTCTCCTTCCCTCCCTAGCTCTCGCTCTCTCTCTCTCTGTATCCTCCCCCCCCCTCTCTCTCTGTCTCTCTCTCTCTCTGCCCCTCTCCTTCCCTCCCTCCGTTCTGACCTTATCGTCCGGGGCGGCAACCGCCGGGACGTAGTAAGACTTGTGGGCCGCCAGCTGCGACACCGACGACAGCCCTCCGGCTGAGATCGCCCGCGAGAGATATCCCGTGCTGTCGAGGCGCGGGAGCCCGCACGTCGCCGTCGAAGACGCCCTTCCTCCTCGTTCCTTGTCCTTATCTTGCTCGGGCTGTTCGTCCGAAGGGTCTGCTTGCTCAGGGACGGGCGGCGAAGGAAGGACATTCGTAATTATCGTGAGAAAGGATCGGACCCGAAAAACAAAACTGCAAAATACGTAGACATACAGGTAGCCTTTCGCTTACGCTATGGATTCATTGCTAATCTATCTCAGACTTTTTTTTATAGATAGAGATGGATTTGTTGTGTAATATTAAGAAAAAGAAAAAAATTGTGAGTGGTCGGGGGGTGCGCCCGTACATGAACAGAAGCTGAACAGTTGACTTCCAGAACAAGCGAGATGACGGCAAACAGAGAACAGCTAGATATCATGCCTACAATGGCGCATCAATGGTTGGAACGAACAGTTGCGGCTTGCGCCCATATACACAAAAATTGCATATACTTGCATGCAAGTACTGTACAAGGAAACGTGTCGAACGCTGTGCTGGCCGCTGCGAAGGCTGTTCGAAAACTCTTCACATCTGTTGTCCATCTGTTTTCTCACCATTTCAGCCACCGCTCAACAGAAAACCGCACTTCAAGAAAAGTTGTCAATTGCATGTCACGCCCACACATCGGCTTTTCTCTTTCTTTCCGTGCATGCAGCATCACGAGCAACCCCACGTTTGGAGACAACCGACCGCGTCGGCACCAAGGAAGCAAATCTTATTTTTGTGCGTATAGTTATAGAAGCATGCAACGTCACACACATGCCGAGGAGAACAGTTGACCAGTACCACAAACGAGCTTCGTGACCGAGCTGCTAGCAACAATTCCTGTGCAGCAGACGCCAAGCACATACAGGAAGTCTTCCTTGTGGAGTGACCCATCGCTCAACCCCAGAGGACAGACGGCTTCGCGATTTGTGGCTCTCCGCGGCTCAGCGGGGAAAAGTCGTGTGTCGTGTGGTTGTTGTCTCTCACATTCGCTTAGCTCGATAGTCCACAAAAAATGGGGAGCCCGTGGCCTCAGAACCCGGCACATACGACGCCGCAAGGAAAAATGCAAAAATAGGGTACAAACCACTCGGAAAAAGAAAACAAAATGACAGAGAGAAAAGAACAGGTATCGCACCGACCGTTCGAGAAAAGAACCCTCGGAAACCGATCAAAATAAAACAAGAACAAAAATCAAGGATGTGTTGTGTTGACTCTGTGCTTGGGCTTAGAATCCAACAGTCCTCGACAACAAAAAATACAACATTGCCACCCTCTGCCGTACCGAGAGGTTCGTGATGGTAGTACGTAGAACAAGCGAAACGGCTCTCGGTCGGTTGTGAGTTGGCTATGTCAGTTGAGGAGGACGTGTGACGTTAGTGAATCGAGGACAGATGACTGTGCGTTGCCCAAGACCCCGGAGCAAGGATAACGCGGCCACATTCCTTGCATCACCCCGTGGTTGGTACATCTAGCGACTGTCAACAGAATAGTTATTTTTCTTTTCGGCTTGGTGAGGTTCACTGGGCTCTTCGAGTCAAAGCATGCCTGCTTTGTGAGCTACTCGAGCTTGGGAAACGTCACATCAGGCAGCTGGCAGGCAGCTGTGAGCTGGTCCTGCTGTGCTTATATTTTCATCTCGCAATACCCTGTGCTATGAGCCCACTCCGGAGGGATCCCTTCTACAATGCCACAAATATCTGCATAGCTTTGCACACTAACATACCTTCTTGAACACGAGCGTCTCTTCGTCAACACATGGCACTCCATACGCACACAGAAGACACTCATGTCCTACAGTACCCACACAACTCCGCGACCTGACACGTCTCACACATTCCCCCCCACAAAGAGACCTACCGAATATCCCGGCCGTCGTGACCTCACTCGCCCGCGCGTCCCCGGAGGACCCAGATAAACCCACACCATCTTCCGATTCTTCAACTCCGCCACCGTCCTGTTTCTTCTCTGTGCCCACCCCGCCTGCCGCCGCCGCTGGAGATGCTCCGGGTCCTTGTGCCGCTACCGCCGCTAAGGCCGGGCGGGCGACCTGCCCTGGGGAATCGTTCGATATCGTGCATCTGAACATGTACGACTTGTCGCTGAGCAGAGGGGTGCGTGGAAAGGCAAGGGGAGCAAGCGAGGGCGGAATAAACGAGAAGGAAAGGGAGTTAGTAGCCTTGCAGAACGTACCCATGGGCAGAACGTTTTTTTGTCGTGAAATTGTTCATGATAGGTAGCCTGTGTCAATGTCGAGCAACACAAAGTTACGAACACATTGCCACGACTAAATAACAGCCGTGCACCACCACCACCACCACCATCACCATCACCAGCCAGCAGCAGCAGCAGCAGCATGACGCACCTGGCCTTGTGCGTCGCGGCGGACGGGTTTGCCGCCGTGAAGTCGTACACCACTACGCTAACCGGCTGCTTGCACAGGAACGTGTTGAGGTCCAGGTTACCCTGGCCGGGGACGCCCGTCACCGCCCAGTCCTGAAAGTTTACGATGCCGCTGCACCACCAAGACGATGCAGAGAAAAACAGGGGGGACGGCAGATAGGAGGGTCGCGGTGTGTCAAGTTCTCCTCCAAGAGACATTGTAGTAGTTAAGAAGGAATCGATTGCAGAGCAGATGTTGCTGTTGTCTCGTATTAAGTCGTAGACCCGCGAAGGTGGCAAGCTCATCCGCCAAGCACGCACCCCGAAAAACCGTAGCGTGAAACACCGTACCGTGGGCTCTAGATCCACCAGAAGTGTACCGAAACGCGAAGGACTACGTAGTGTTGTACAGCATTCAAATCGAATTTGTTTCTATCTCTCGAGAATTCGGAAATTCCCCGGGACGACAATTCACTTCGGAAGAGCCAGTAGAAATTCAATGACGATCTATCCAGGACTCAATTTTGTGTAAGAAAAAAAATTGTTTCATGAAAGTAAGAACAAAGCAACATAGCCTCCTCCTTGCCTCAAACCACTTTTTCTTTTGGACAGGTACGGGGCCGCAGCCAAATATAACTCCGACAAAGGAAACGGGAAGGTATGACAATACCTACAACACAGTCCGACCAGAATCTTGAACGGGTTTGCCCCCGAGCGCAAAGGGACAGCGAGGCTTGCCGCCCGGTTTTCCACACGGCTTGAGCGAAGAGCTCTTAAAACAAATACAATACAACTTCCAAAACGCTACGGCTCTGCTTTCTGCCCCCTAAAAGTGATGGAGAGCATCGCCGACGAATTCTGCTGCCCCCTACCCCACCCCCTGGGCGGGCAGCTAAGGAAGCAATCAGCAACCCCTAGGAATGCCTCGGTGTCAGGTCCATGCAGGCAACCGGAGACACCAGTCACCACGGTCCGAACGGGGGCCGAGACCAACCACACTCCGGCCGCCATTCTTGATGAGCCTACGGTAGAAGCGTTTATTGTTTCGCCGACTGGGTTTGTCCCCACCTTTGGAAGGCCATGGTATAGGTGACGTCGGTACTCCAGACGATGTCGGGGCTCTTCCCCCCTCTCCTTGCGGCCCTCTCCTCGGCCGACTCCGTCAATGCACCGCCTAGGGTTGGGGGCTTCTCGTCTAGACAGAAAAAGACACACACACACACACAAGAGAAAAAAAAGGCCAGCAACAGAATAACACAGCAGAAACAGGAAAACAGCAGAAACCCGAACGAAAACAGGAAAAAAGTCAGCCTAGACGATGAACCGGAGTGTCACATCATGCGGAGACGGAGCGGGGATATCGTGGAGGGAGCCTGAAGAGTGCAATGCGGGAGGAACTCGCTCGGGGGAAACGGAACACAAATAGGACATACTTAAATAGGGGTCCGTCAAGGCCCCGGCTAGCTCCGCCTCCAAAGGAGCAAAAACTGGCTCACTTAACAAGAAAATAATAAAATGTCCTGCCGCCAGAACACTTGTAGTGCCACCAAGCACCAAACCGAAGCTCTTCGATCACACCTGCCTCGTCTAATACTCAGACTGAAAAATTTGCTACCGCCCCCGCCCATGACCACCTACCCTACCCCTATGGTACTCCTCTCTCCACTGCCACAGGGAACTGGCATACTTCGGAGAGGACACACGTACACAGCTTGTTGCTTCCCTGGCGGGGCCAGAATTCAGTCCACTGCCCGTAGGAGTTGCACTGGGCTCTCTGTTTCTCTCTCCACCGCGCGTGAATGCCGCCAAACCACATCCAAGCAAGCAGACCCTATTCATCGCGAAGAAAGGCATGGGGCTGGGCGGCCGAAGCATCCAGTTTCCTGCAAATAGAGTATCCATACCTTCTGCTGTCACCACGAACCAGTCCATCACCCTGTACAGAGGGAAGGTCACGTGCGGATTCTCGATGTCGAGGGGATCTGACGGGGGACGCCTCTCCCCGAAGCTGTAGTGAAGGCTCTTCACCATCTGTGCCGCAGATGGGAGTCAAGGTAACCCTCGATTACTAATAATCGGTGCCAAGGCCTCAGCGTTCCGAGCTCCACACAAGTACACCTCGGCAGCGGTTTCAGGTACAAAACCGTGACAACCGTTGTTTTTGTTGCGATGTCGCGAGACGGTCGCTACCATGGTTTTCTAATCCAGATCATTCTGGCCATTCCGCCTACCAGGAGAAGGAGGTAGCCTTGCCACGATGGTGGCATACACCGGGGACACATTTCCAGCCCAGTTCCCGACACATTTGGCGGTACGGACAGCCTACCCTTTTGTTGAGCCCAAATACCAACATCGTACCCCTTGGTTCGGAATAAGTAAACGGTCTTACACGCCGCTCCCTGTATGGTCAACGGTCTAACAAGTAAGGCATGGAAAACATGAGTACGCTCCCCCCCCTGTATGGCTTCCCCGACAACGATACTGTACAATACATCCACCTGCTTGGCGAAGCTCATGACGATTTTGGAGACGGTCTGGGTGACCAGCCCCTGCTTCGGCCGCTCGTCCAGCTCGCCCCCCATGTACACCTGTCCGAACACAACAGACGTGGTGCATCTGTTGCTGTATCGAAATCTCATTTTGCTAGACACGTTGTGTGGTGCAGGACTCGCTCAGATGGATAGGCTGACGGTTTCGTCAAATTCTGGCGGGTAAATCAGGAGTTCGAATCCCAGCGGAATGATTTTTCTTTCATTCTTTTTTCGCGTTTCGTGGTTTGTATTGCACAAGAAGGACTTGTTCGTGAATACAATTCTACAGGGAAGGGACCTTGGAAATTCTCTTTCGAATGTTTGCTTGTGTTTGATATTATTCTAGCCTTAAGGTAGTACCAGAAACGACCAAAATCGAGTTCACTCACGAGCTATGTACCCACCTCGCCCTTGGGCAGCAGCTTGAGCTTCCCCTGTATCTGCATCTCGAAAGCCCTGTTGCTGTTGCTGCCCTCGAAATGAGCGGCCCACTTGGGGTCCGGGGGGTTGCACTTGACGAGGAAGAGCATCCTGCCCTTGAAGAAATCGTTCTCGAACTCGAAGGGCGACTCGGCGTTGGCGTAGATGTCTTCGCCCAGCATGGAAAGTCTTTGTTTTTTCGAAGCGAAGAAATTCCAAGGAGCGCAAGAGAAGCACCGTGCCCAAAAATCTCATTGAGGAAGGGTAACAAATGCACCACACTCGTACTCGCACCGTATATTTTCGCGAATATTGCTGTACTACTACTCACTGGTCCTCCGATAGAGGTGCCTACGTGCCTGCTCGATAAGTGTTGCCGGTGATACGGAAAAAAATCGCCAGGAACCCACACCAGGTTCTGGACGGTTCCATTGACAGCTTGTCTCATCTAGTGCCCACCCTTCATGCCCACGACTTTACGCAGAAAACCGACTGAAATTGAATAATCATGTAGTATACTTTCCAGAGAGGCCTGACCCGGTTCATTCAGAGAGCTTGCCGAGTTTGCGGTCGACCACCTTTGCCAGGAAGCGGCTTCGAACAAACTCGGAAACGCTAGAAACTGTCGCCAAGTACTTTCAACGTGGACCACTTCGGAAAGATGATAGGAGGCGAACCTCTTGAGAAAATGTATCAAGGTGAACCTCTTCGGCACGAGCACGAGGGCATCACCTGAGCCCCGCAGTCTGCGCAGCTACGGCAGACGTTGTTGCGGTCGCCGGATTCGCCGGAGGCCCCGACACCGCTTGCTGCCCGCTACGTTCAGTCGCCGGAGCGCCGCCGCTCGCTTCCTGAGACTGCGTTTTCTTGGTGCCCCCGTCAGCGCTGGCGGAGGCCTGAGTTGCCGCCACCGTGGTGTTCGAGGCGGATTGCTGGAGCCATTCCAGCCCAGGCTGGGCGCGTCTAAACCTGTGCCGCCGTCGTGTGAGAATTCATACAAGTTTTGACCATATTCTCGGGAACGTGGCTCCTCCAAGCTTGCTGTTTGTGTGGTATCATGGACTGCGCTGCTCTTGTCTCAACGCCGACCGGTGCCAGCCAACAGTAGCGGTACGACAACGATCTCTATCTTTAGCGCCGGACAGGGGGGGCAGCATGGTTCAGTCCCGACATTCAGCACAAAGCAAACAAACTGGCATCACCACTGATGCTCGGTATCGATTGCAAAGTGTTCCTACCCTGCAGCCGACTAACCCTCAAAGTCGGCTACTTGTTGCGCTGCGTAGTGCACTAAATACTACATAGCTTGCCTTCACAGCGGGGGGTCTCACCCGAGCAAGTGTTGTAACCCCGTCCGATTTGAAGATCAGGAGATACAAGGCAAAACAGCACGTTGCAACACAAGCCTTTCCATGAAGTGACTACAGTTCGAGAGTAGATTATCGGTCGTTCTCGCTTGTTGCATTGCGAATTGTGCGGATGGAGGCAAGCACGGCAACATGCGCTTGGTTCACCGGGACCTACGCGGAAACCGTCGTTTCGAACGAGGAATATGGGCTGTCAAATAAGGTACTACTGCCCCTGGTTGCAAAGGGTCAGGGAGCAGTTTTGGTCAAGTCAGCTCAGGCCTCCCCATGACCTCCCATCAATCGCCACAGTGGACGTCGTTGCAACTGCTAGTTGAGGGGTCCGCGACATTCCATGTCAAGATTTGTGGATGCGTGAGCTCAAGTGTATGCAAAGTCTCGTGCGGCCACGTCTCGGCTTCAAACAGCACATCACACAGAAGTACAGATTGATTGCACACGCCACTATTAATAAGTGACACAGACAGATGTACCGCATGCGGGGGGGGGGGAAATGCAGCTGTAAAGAAATTCCGAGGTGTGTCGGGTGTGCCGCAGTACATGGTGCTTCTGTCAAGTTGTCATACGCATACGCCACATCAACACGACTCCACTAACTCGCTCTCCTCAAGTCGTGGTGCTTCTGTCACGTTTCATCAATAGCCACCGCGTGCCTATCGCAACCTGATTACGACACAAGAATGCTAGTAGGATTGGTCAAAATGATGCTGTCGGTATGCTCACGTAGAGTCAGTCTCCCGTCGTCTCTTCTCACCTAAACGCCAGGAGGTCCAGCACGAGGTACAGCCAAAGCGTAAACGACAGCCCTCCAACCGGCACCCCCAGCTGCCTAAGCGCCGTGGCCACGGTCGCGGCAAGAACAAGGGACGGCGTAAGGAACGCCGAGACACCGACCGGCCGCCGCTTGGGGGCCTGCATGCCCATCTTGAACAGCCGGATAGCCCTGCTGTTCCGCCGCCTTTTGCGTCCGAGGTCGCTTATCCGCTTCTTTCGGAGCGATGACCGCCCTGAAAGTCGTCGGCTTCAGGGCGGATGTCTCCCACAGGCTCGTGCACACTCGGCTGAATTAGAGAGAGGAGGCAGCAGCCTCTCTTGTTGTGCGCATTCCTTGCGCCGGATGTTGGACGGAAGGAATAAAAGACTTCATGGAAGGTGAGGTATTGAGCCGCATGGAGTTTGGTTCCTGAGGCGTTTCGTGGGCGAAACGGTCGTCCATATGGTTTGTGGTTTGTGGCGTTTTGTTCGTCGAACAACAACATCCGCTCCAAAGGTTAGTCAACTCTTCGCGAGAGGTTCATGCGCGAGAGAATTCTGCAAGCGAATTTTGAGCAATAAACTATTTGCAGGTTTGCGGTTGTGCATACGCTGTGACCAAGTTGGCTTTCCTACGCGGTGTTGCATACCGCGATCTGTTGTGCGAACATGTTGCCGCAGCAACTCCTTGCTGCCTCGAAGCTCGACGCAGCGCAGGCCAGCATTCAGTCAGGGGAGGATGGTGTTCGAGAAGGGGTCGCCATGCTGCTGACGGCTATATCGGAGTACGAATGCAACCAGGAATCTGGCGGTGTTAACGGCTCCAAGGTGCGCTGCAAACAAATATCAAGCGCAGACACATATGGTACGGTACGATGCCACAGCAGGCTGCTGTTCGTACAATAAATAGTCTATTAGACTATAGTAGGAAAAGTGAATTCTTGTTCGAGTCACTACTCTGTGCCGGATGCGCGCGAGGCTTGCAAGCATTGCAGCCGCATTGAGCGGTGCGTCTCTTTTCCAAAAGCAATGCTTGTACATCATGTGTTCCGAATCACACAGCAGTAACATCGTGCACCCCCACGTGCTAGTAGCATTTGCTAACTACAATGACCGCGGCTGATGCCCGGTAGACAGTAGTTTGCTTGCGGACTAGACTACACTACAAATCGATCGCTAGAAATCGGCTGTTATAGACTATGCGTACACCATGGGAAGAAAACACGTACTTGTTGTATTTCTCCGTGCATGTGGACTGCTGTTGTTACCAAAACGAATGGATCGTGCTCTGGACCGCCCATAGCAAATTCCGTTTCCCATTTGTTTGTGCCCGTAAATTAGCGCGTCTTCGGGGACACTCACACGTACGTATCGATCGATCGTGATATTCTGCTTTTGTGACTTTCTCGCACGGCAGGGAGCAGGATTGTCAATCGCGATGTCTACTGATGTTATATGTATCATACGGTGGGCAGCAGAGCGCACGCTTTTGCGGTGGAAGTTGTTGTTGTTGTCTTTTTTCACATTAGCTCTATAGTCTACAAAAAATGGGGAGCCCGTGGTCTCAAAGCCCGGCACATACGACGCCGCGGGGAAACAAAACAAAAATAGGGTACAAACCACTCGGAAAAAGAGAACAAAATGAAAGAAAGAAAAGGACAGGTATCGCACCGACCGTTCGAGACAAGAGCCCTCGGAAACCGATCAAAATATAACAATAAATAACAAAAATAAAGGAGGACGCTTCCCACACCCGCCCAAAGAAAAATCAAAGGGTAACGTACCAGCACCAGGCACTACGCACCAGGGCATGGGAGTAACGGAGCAAACAGGATAAAGAGGCGGCAGATGGGCAGACAGCCAGACGTACAAAAACAAAGGCAACAGCAAAAGCGAGATCAAGGTACCCAACACAGCAGAGTAGGCAGGGAGGTCATGAAAAAAAGAAACACAGCACAGAGGCCGAAGGCAATACAAAGGACATACATAAAGGAGTATAGCGTACAGCAGGGAGGGAAACAGGGCGCAACAACATCAGCCGGGTACGTAGTTCGCCACAAGTGCTGCCTCGGCCACCCTACTCGCTTCTACAGCAGTGCCCGGTCGCCGTTTCTTCCCCCCTACCGCCGCTTCCCCGACTCTCTTTCTCTTCGGTCCTGAGATGGCCGTACTCTCTGCTTCTGCTTCCCTCGCGCGCTGGCGCTTCGCGGACGCTTCCGCCTCCTGCCTGTGCCATTTCCTCATGAACCATGCCGCCCCGTCCTCGACCTTGTTGTACCACACCTCCGGGTCCTTGGCGCTCTCTTTCCATTTACCCCCTTCCTTTTCGTCCCATATTGAAGGCCACGACGTGTACCTGATGGATTCGTGAACCGTTGCCTTTGAGAATTGTAGCAAACTGCAACAGAGGTCCTCAATAATTCCTGGTAAAACAAGGTGCAAAGAATATTATTGGTTCACACGACGATACGCAGCAAGAATAACGCGAGGATCAGTACAGAAGCACAGGTAGGTCTACAGCACTGTGATTCATCGTGACATACGCTTAACCTGGAACAAAATGTACGGATGGTGTATTTCTTGACGAATGGAATGTATTGGCGAAACCAACAGGAAGACCAACACTCGACCTGCTGTACGCACGTAGTCTTCAATTACCTCAATCGTTTCGCCGTCGGGTCCACATAGGTCCTGGGAGCAGCGATGCGCCGGCTTACGGAGGATCCATACTTGACTCTCGGCGTAGACCCCGCTGCAGATGAAGGGACAATCAAAAAGGCGTACAGGAAGCTGGCGCTTAGATATCATCCTGATAAGAACAAGGCTACGTCGACTCTTTTCCAGGCTGTGCAAGGAGCTCACGTAAGTTTCATCGCGGTCGTGCCTCCTTGCGTTTCTTTCAATCGTCGCCACATCTTGCTACATACAGCATCTCCCGTTGCCGTAGCTTGAGGCCGCAATCGACCGTGTGTTAAAGTAGACCGTATACCCCGCTCGAATTCACTACTCCAAACAAGGCCGGCTAGAAACCTCGAGCCTCCCATCGCAACCACTTTCAGCACTGAATGTGGTCTTAAAATATAAAAAAATTCATTGAGTCTGGACTTGCCTTGCAACATGCCGTCGATGAATTTCCTTGTCGTCTACATGATAAATCAACAGAGAAAGGCACAACATCACACAGCTGAACCGCTGTTCCGTTGCACTCTGTCGTGAATTTCACCCCACAAAAGAGTATGTTGGAGAGGCATTTTCTCCGCCTCGACTGATTTTCAATCGTACAGGATATCTTAATCGAGCCAAGCAAGCGCGCGGAGTACGACGTGAAGAGAAAACGCCAGCAGGAGGCCCTAAACAGGTATGAATGTAGACAATCCTACATACATGCGTTGTTTCCCACGACGGCGCTGCCAGAAATTTTGCCGAACCGACATGCACATGAGAAATTCCCCGTAACAAAGCGATATGGCCGCCCAGATCCCTGTTGTCTGTGGAAACTCATCTGCCCATGCTTAGATATTGATACGATGCACTCTGCCAAGCTCTGAAACACTTTATCACCGGCAGTGGTTTCCCTCCATAGCGGTTTTGTCGCTGCAAATTGTACGAGGAACGGTCGGGCGTGATGCTCGCGGTAGTATTTTAGGGCTTCCAATTACACAAGGCATGACATCATGAGAGAGACAGAGAGACAGCGAAAGATACAGAGGAATGTGCGGGGGTAGATGAGACAAAACCAAACTTGTTTCGTCCATAAGGGAGGAATAAAACATCGAGTATTCACCGGGCGATAATTGTTCAAAACCTTGAGACACGATGGCACCCTCGTGTCATTCGACCGCCAAACCAGTACTTACTGCCCATGCCAACGACCAGGCTGCGGAAGCATCCGAAGGGGTCCGCAGCAGGGACGCCCGCCAATAACGCGGGGGCGGCGTCTCCAGGAGGAGCGGGGCAACCAACGGCAGCAGGGGCATCACCATCGGGGAGTGAAAGCGCGACAAGGGGGTCTTCACCTTATGCTGCCGGTGGTAGAGCGACCGCCGGCTCGACGGCGGGAGCGGGGGGCTTCAGCAGCAAGAAGGTCCGGACAAGTGATGCGATGCTTTCCTCAACTCTTCCGCCGAATCTCCGAGGCTATGTGGTGCATTGTTCTTCTTCCATCCTCTCTTCGAATGGTGCCTAGTTGGGTGCCTGCACGAACACACACTACTCACCTGTTGAGGAGGACCCGATTCCCAGGGTATCCGTCGATTGACTTTTACCTGAATCGGTACACCTTCGCACATGACATCAGCTGGATACCGGTCCGAATCTCCTTGGGTGCACATTTTTCTCCTGACTTGGACATTTTCCCATGGACACAATGTGTGTCAGTCCTGAGAACACCTCTTGGAGTCGATCCTACAAAGTACCTGGTGACACTTCCATCGAATTACCCATCCTGGCCACAAGAGGTTCCCAGTTGAGGGTAAATTCTGTGGGTGGAGAGTGTTAGGGAGGACCCGATTCGCAGGGTATCCGTCGATTGACTTTTACCTGAATCGTTACACCTTCGCACACCGCTGTTCATCATTGCTCGTCGAACAATGAAGTAACACCTATCTATGAAGTTCGTCATCCCGAGACCGCCCCAAGTCATCTCATTTGCAGCTTCGACAAAAATTGCCTCAGACAATGAGTCAGGTCTATAAACGCTCTCGATCCATCCCTGTCTCGGACCTATGTGTTTTCCATCGGGGATGCCGTAGTCAAGCGCAGCGAGCGGAACTTCCGCCCGCGGAGAACCAGCCGCGGCCAGCGGAGACGAGAAGGTGAGTGAATCGTGTTTGTTTCGGGCGCTACGGGTATTTCTCGGCAGAACCTAATTTGGTTCATCAAACTGCCAATTCGGTAGAAATGTCTCGAGAACCCTCCGGTTACATATGCTATTGTGTACCATCGTCATGATTCTGGTCCTTGTGTGGCCTTGTTTTTTCGTTTCGTGGTGATGGCGGTATTGACAATCTTCACTGCCCCTTGCATCACAAAGGTGAGGCAATTCAACAAGCGGTTCTACGAGGAGTTCCGGCGAGAAGCCCAAAAGCAAGACAAATCCAAGGCCAGTAGCAAGCGGACATCAGGAGCGGCCCCTGGGGCTTCGAAGCACCAGGTACGGCGATTCCAAAAAACTGTCATAGGATAATTGGAATCTGAACCCAGAGAAATGCTATGGATCGGACGGCTTTCCGTGGGGTTCTTACTTGGCTTTGAACACGTCCTTTGGTTTCAACGCCGCACGTCGATTTCTGTCGTCCGGCCGGACAAAAAAATATATATCCGTAACATAGGAGGGATAAAATCTGGTGCACACATCTCATACGTGTCTCCGGGTGCCGCTTGATTCACTGGAGTTAACTCCCGTTGATCGGTGGCGTGCAGGAGGACAGAAACTCTCCATCACCTCAACTATATGTTCTGCGGCCTCTTGACAACGGCGTGTCTGCATTCTCTTTCACTGCACGAAGCATTGTACAACCCCATGCCTGATACATTAATGATATTGCCCCTTCTTCCCGATCCCCGGCCTCGGTCCGCTCTGGCGGTATTCACGATGCCACGTATCACAGCCCCCATCACGACCGAAGATGCGGAGCACCAACCGGACCGAGTCTACCGTTACACTTGAGTGGCACTGCGCGGGGCTACCTTCGACGACGGCGTTCGAGCTGCAGTGGCGGCAGCGAGGCCGTACGGCTTCGGAGTGGGTGCGTGCCTCGACGTCTAATAGACCGTGGTTTCGGTGTCAAAATAAAATTTGACGAACGCGCCGATGAGATCGTACGTGGCTGAGGCATCAGAACTGGACCACGAAACGCACGATGAAGAATCCCACACAAAGACATCGTGTATGTGCTCAACTTCGATTGATCAAGCCGTAAGGTTCACGTCCACAGCATGCCCATCCAAGCCGCAGCCAACCTGATCCCCCGCAAACCGTGGTATTGATACGCTGCCGCCCCGACTTCTGTTCTCTGCCTCCCGACGCCACTCGTAGGTCACCTCCCCCACCCTGGTAGTCGGCAAGTCTTGCCGCAAGAAGAATCTGGCTCCTTGCACGTGCTACGAGTTCCGGGTCAGGGCGGCCAGCGCCTGGGGGTGGAGCGGGTATTGTGACCCCGTGATGGTCGTCACGCTTCCGTCGACGGGCGGTAGCGGTGTAGACGCCGGGAGCGGCGGGGCGGGAGGGGAGAGCGCATCGACGTCACCCCCTCGACAGAAGGCGAGAGGGACTACGCGAGTGTCTTCCAGACGAACGGGGATCACGACGCCGCCGCGTACATGCTGGACTAGACGTGTCGACTTCGTTTTTTTTTCCTGGAAAAAAACGCCATCTGGAATACGAGCAGGAGTCGCACGTTCACAGTGCTGGTCCAGTATAGATCCGCAAACGCTACGTTCGGTGGCCCGAGAAGACGGTCGGGTGCGTGGCAATGCTAAATAAACCTGCGTTATTTGTCCGACGCGTGTTGTTGTGTAATTCGTGCAGGTTTCGGGATTCCAGAGCGACGGCATCGGCGGGTCTGCCGCGGCCGCGGAGGAGGCAAAGACTCAGGCGAGAACAAAGCTCTTGGTGATATCGTTTTGTTCGTGTTTGTCTTTCCTACTGCTACGTTGCTGGGTCTCACATTGCGCCGGTCAGGCGGTAAAGAAGGTGGAGAACGCGTGCGCCATTTTATGTGACCTGAAGGCACACGCGAGGAAAAGTGGATGAGACCGACAATTCCGTTGTGTACTGCTTGGTCAACGTCCGCCTGTCGAACTATGACCAATACAACTGTGAAGTCGGAGCGCATTCGGTATTGGTTGTTGGTAAACGAAAGGAGCATTAAGGTACATGCTCTCGAGAAAGCTGGCCATCAGAATAGGCTGTAGGCTTGTGCTACACCTGCCCTCCCCCCCTCCCTGTCAAATTTATCCGGAAAATACAGGTTGAGGAAGCACGGCAGTGCAGATCCCAGACTCAAGCTGGGCACACGAAGCCATCCGTACAGTTCCGCAGTAGCTCCATCGCTGGAACGGAAAACGGAGGAGGTAGCGGCGGCGTTGGAGCGGCACCACCTGGAATGGAGAAAACGAACAGCTGGTACTGGAGGAGGATGAGCAGAGCGGCAGCCCAGGAAGAGAAGGAAGTGGCTACGAGCAGTGCCGAAGGGGGCGGGAAAGAGAAGGTATGTCCGGTTTCGACCAAGGGCTAGGATCAACACTATCTTGTATCTTCTCGCGTGGAAAACATAAGGCAAGCACCACAGGAGGATGAAGGGACGAAGCGTATGATGGAACGCGCCTAGTGAGCTAACGCATTCTGTCACCATGAAAATACACATCGTCGACTGGACTGTGCAACAAACCTTTGTGAGGTCAACAAATCCTCTTTCTTGCTCCCTTCTCGTGTTGGTCGCTTTTGAACTTCTCACGACTGGCAGGCCCAGCGGCGACGCACGATGCATGCGCAGGGGACCCCCTCGGAAGGGGCCTGGGTGTGCGTGGTGTGCAAGCGTCCGAACGAGCCCACGTCAAACTCGTGCTGGGTGTGCTACACGACTAGGTAATTTACAAAATATCGGGGTGTCTCAGAAACTACCCCAAATTTCGGAACACACCAAGACTCATCAGAAATAGAGACGGTTGACTGCAAGAAGAAGGATCTGGCAAGCAGCCAACGCTTCAGCATGGATGTATCCCCACCCTCTTGTCTTCCTCTTTTCTGCGCATATTTTCAGAAAGGTGATACTCCAGTCGAATTCAGCAATTTCATGGCGACCAAA